TATTGCATGGAATTGGAAGGAGACCCTCATTGTTATACAAAATTACATATAAGAGGTTGTGAGGGGAATGGGAAAATAAACAAGGAGAGAAATTAATTACAGTAGATGGGGTAGAGAGAGAAGATGGGAGGGGAGGGGAGGGGGGGTAGTTGAGGATAGGAAAGGTAGCAGAATACAACAGTCACTAATATGGCATTATGTAAAAATGTGGATGTGTAACCGATGTGATTCTGCAATCTGTATTTGGGGTAAAAATGGGAGTTCATAACCCACTTGAATCTAATGTATGAAATATGATATGTTAAGAGCTTTGTAATGTTTTGTAAAAAAAATTTAAAAAAAAGAAACATATTAAGGTGGAAGACATGTTATCAGGTATTTATCTTGATGGGGACAGATGCAACTGAGTGAAAATCAATAATTCATGAATGTGAAGGAAATTGCTGAACCCATTTCTGTGGCACAGCACATAGTAGCTGCAAAGTTAGGTTTAGGTATGGAGGCTGCATTGCTACAAGAAAGTGCTTACAAGTATGTGTGAGAGAGACAGGGAAGAAATGAGACAGGTGGACAGAGAGAGAGAGAGAATACTTGTATTATAGATTAATTTTAAGAATGGCTCATAATATTAATGCTGGCAAGTATGAGAATTAGGAAAAGAGAATAAAGCAAAAATGTATAACTGTAAAAGCCAGTAAGTTCAATGTATTATTAATGCTTGAAGTTCAAAGACTGGATTGTGATTCAAGAAAAAGTAAGTGGACAATAGTAGGTGATGTGCTCAAGACTAAATATGCTCAATTTATATTAATAATGATTTGAATGTATTTGAATCAATACAAATTGTGAGAGTTTTTGAGATGTTTAAATAGCTGAGGTAGATAGTTCAAGATTTTTGGAAAAAGATCACAGTCCTAAGAATCCAATTTTCCCAGTTATCTCTTATTCATACAATTACCTCCAAATGTAGTGGTTTTAAAAGAATTTGTCATCATCCCCTTTGATTTTGTGAATTTTCTAGCATCCATTGGGTACTTCTCACTTGGTTTCTCTTTCTCAGCTGGCTAATCAGATTTTTGATAGAGTCCTAATCATCTCTAAGCTTGACCAGAATTGATGCTGGTTGTCAACTGGAAGCTCAGCCAGGACTGTCCACCACATGGCCTCTCCCTGTGATTTGGAATTCTCACCACACAGTGGTTGTGTTCTTGAAAGTGTCAAAAATGTAAATATTCAAAGATTCCAATGAAGATGTTATAAGTTTTCTTACAACACTGCCTCAAATATCTCAGTATATCATATTCATTTTCAAGGAAATCAGTTAAGTCAACCCAGAAGAAGGGATGGGAATTAGACTGTACCTCCTGGGAAGGCAGATACTATTACAGGAAAGTATATGGGATGCAAGATATTGTTTTGGACATGCTTGGAAGATGTATCCTGTGAAAGTGCATCCTCTGGCAATAATAATACATATCTCCTCCAATGTCCAATATCCATGGATATATCTCTTCCATAAGACGTACACTCTCATTCTCATTATGAGATTAATTTAAGCACACATTTCATATGATTTGAGAAATGAACAGTTATCACTTGAAACTGGTTGAGGAAGGGAAAGAAGGAGTGGGCAAACACAAGTCTCTGGTTACAATGTTCCAGACAAATAGAAGATATAAATTCTGGTATTCTAAGGCACAGCAGGGTGAATTTAGTAACAACAATGTCTTATTTTAGAATATCTAGAAGAAAAAATTTTGAATATCCTCATCATAAAGAAGTGAAAAAAAGTTTACCTTGATGAATAAATTAATTACCCAGTATACACATGAATCAAAATATCACCTTGTATCTTGTAAATTTGTACAATTGATATATGTCAATCAAGAAATTTAAAAAGTAAGTTCTTGTTTTCAGTTCCCTGTACACAGTTCTTTGAATGCAGTTCTTCTCAAACTGAAGTCCTGTAAGGTAAATAATTGAGTATTCTGACCTTTATATAGCCATATAGGATAGTGATACTGAGATAGGATGCCTGCAATAGATACTTATAGGTCAAAGAACAGGCGAGGTATTAAATCACTTGTCATTATAATTTTAAAATTCAGTCCAAAATGTAACAATATTCTATGAATAAATGTTACAGAGCAAGGCCATCTACAGAGACAAAGCAACCAAGGATGTCATCTGTCACTGGTTCTTGCTACTGTGCCAGAAAAATTTCAGACACATCACACATAGTAGCAAGAGTTTATTAGAAGGGATAGGTAAAGGAAAAAGGGGACACTCTCAAGGGAAAAAGTGGTTCCCCTGGGAAAGGAGAGGGACAGTGTATATTTCCTGCTCCCCAATTTTGTTGGGCATCTCAGAGAAGTTTCCAGAAAAGTCCTGCCTGTGTCCACCAGTTGACCTTTGATAACAGGATTGCATCAGACTTCCACGTCCTCACTGCACATGGTCTTACCCCATGGAGGGGAGATTTTACTATTATAATGACATGTGAAAGATCCAGGCAACTCTGAGTCATTTGGGTGCATGTTGAGGGGCTCTAATTGGGAACATGTTCTTACAAATTTTATGGTTAAGAGTGTTGCCTCTTATCATCTTATCTCCCTGAGTTCTGCAATGTGGTCGGTCTGTGGAAAGATCATAAAATCCTCCACTTCAGGGTAGCTTGTGTTCTTCTTAACAGCAAGGAGGATCATTTAGGGCCTGCATCTCTCCTGCAGATGACATGTTGTTTACTAAATAATGTGACATATCCAATTGACCTCATTCTGGCAGGGGTGAAGTAAATTGCTTATCTGAAAGAAACCATGTGGGGTCAGCACAGTAGGTCAAGTTTGTGGCATTATCTCCTTAACCTCACTGTATCCACTTCTCTCTCGTGTCTGTCTCTTACCTACCAATAAGGACCCAAGCCCCCTTCCTGGAAAGGATTATGGACAATTGCCTCAGTAGACTATGTCTTCTTTTTTTTTCAATGAGAAATGACCTGAGTAACTTTCTCAGCATGTTGTCTGCCTGAAGAAGTTGAAGATTCAAAAACTTCTTTTCAAAAGACTATGCCCCTTTGAGTAGAAACTGATGGTGGTTTCATCTGTGGATTTCTCTTTTTAAAACTCTATGAATATTTTATAGTTTTAATCCTTAGACAAAAGCCACACCCACAAATATCTCCCTGATTGTCCACTGCCTAATTGTGGCTGAGAGTTATCATGTCAGGGGAGAATAATGCTAAGATTCATAGAAGTTCTTTGTCTAGTAGAAAATATTTATAAGGCACACCCTTAAATATTTCTGTATTCCTAGTAAACAATATTCTTACAAACTTGATCTATAGATGATACAACTCCCTAAAGCATTTTTTACTTGGAGAATTTTTCCTCCTGTGAAGATGCTGTGGGTGGAAAAAGCCACATTTATTACAACATAGCTAGGCTTGACTCTTTAGTATCTACCCTAAATTCTGATTCAACACTGAACAATTTGATTATTATCTCATATCCCTTTATTTGTACCTTATCATATGTGGCATAAAATCAGTGTTAGCACTTTCAAAACTCTACTTCCAAATCTCCTTAGCCAAATACAACAGAGCATTAGGCATATTTTATACATTCCATATTTTAGTTACAAGCAATCTGAAGGCTCAATTAGACTGGATGTGCAAGATGACTTAATGATATGCTGGTAGTTGTTGTTGTCTGCTGTCTGGGATTTCAATTGGGGACATTTATTCGAATATTTATTAATGGCTCCTCCATGTGACCTGGGATGTGCACAGCCTAGTAACTAGGGCTAAGAAGGAGTCTACTAATATCAAGCCTTTGAATAAACCATGGTGGATTATGTGAAGACTTTTATTAAACTAACATACGAAGCCCCAAATATCACTTTTGTGGATATCATTTGTCAAAGATATACTAAGTTCAGCCCAGATTCAAGAAGAAAGATCAGAATTCATTGACGTGGGATGGCAAGATGTACACCTTGCAGAAAAGCACAGAAGCTAGAAAATATCATTGTGGTCATTATAGAAGACACAATCTGCCCTATCAAGTTACTATAGGGTTATCTATTATATACACTACATTCACCAGAAATATTGACAAGATTGTTTAGTTTTGTGAGAGGAAAAAAAAACATTCTACCAAAGGAGAAAAATCTTCAAGAAAGAATGACCCAAGCTAAAAAGATAATGCAACAAATACAGAAAATAAATATTTTAATGATATAAGATTTTATGAAGTTTTATGATTTTATGAGATTATATGAAGTTTTAGGATGCATGAATAATGTTAGACAAGAAGCAATTATGGGGAATATACAGGAGTGCTGTCTTTCCTTTAAGCCCCCACAAATTATTACAAGAATCAAGTTTATAGGTTTTTCGAAAGACCATGACTTTTCTGACATGAAAGGAGCCAGGATCTTGGTATCAGAATCACCTGGAGGATTATTAAAGAATGCAAAAGTCCATGGCCGGAGAATAGAGCCTGGAGTTGGCATTTTCACCTAGATGTTCAGGTGATTCAGGTATCCACTATGTGTTTGGAAACAGTTGCTTTAGCGGATTAATTTTCCCAGAGGATGCTTTAGAAAGTGTAATGATCCATGTTATATTTACCAACTTTCAGCTTCAATGTGCTCTACAAAGATAACCCAAATTATGAGGCTTTTCATTACTTTTAACTTGTTTATAAAAATCTTCTATTTTATATATAATCAATATGCTATCCTATATGTCTTGGATATTTTATCTGAATATGAGACAAAGATCTCCCTCTAATCTATCTGTGCATGAAAACATCTTCAATTTTTAGCTTCTCTTCACATACAAATCTTTTCTTACTGCTTTCTCTTACCCATAGTGGATTTCTAGGATTTTATATAAATTGAAGTCAATATTATGGAAATATCAGCTTTTTAAAAAAAATGGAAAAAACCCTCACATCACTAGTATTACTTTTTGTCTTTGCCACGCCCTCAATCTCATGTCATTGATTCCCTTTAGGGGACAGGAGGAGGTTGATTCTGTCCCGAATCTGCTTGGTCTTCACCCCATAGATGATTGGATTGATGGCAGGAGGGAAAGTCACATAGAGGTTGGCAAAAAGTATGTGGAAGGAGTGAGGAATATTGTGACCAAAACGGTGGGCAAGGACGGAGAATATGGCTGGGGCGTAGAATGTAAGAATGACACCAATGTGGGAAGCACACGTACTGAGTGCTTTTTGGCGGGCATTCCAGGACGGAAGGTTAAAGACAGCATGAAGTATGAGAGTGTAGGAGATACCAATGAGGATCAGATCTGACATGACCGTTATCACAGGCACAGCAAATCCATACCATATATTGATGGAGATGTCTGCACAAGCGAGCCGGGCAACACCTATGTGCTCACAGTACGTGTGGGGAATGATGAGTGTTCGGCAGAAAGGTAGTCGCTTTAATAGGAAGATGCATGGGAAGATGATACAAAAGCTCCTGCTGATAATACCCATCACAATCTTAGTAATAAGCTGATGGGTAAGAATCGCAGAGTATCTTAGGGGGAAGCAAATAGCAACATAGCGATCAAATGCCATGGCCAGCAGGATAGCAGAATCCATGGCAAAGCTGAAGTGGAGGAAAAACATCTGAGTAAGACATCCATGGAAGGTGATCTCCTGAGGACCCAGCCAGAAGATGCTCAATGTTTTAGGTACACACGTATTAGACAGGATGAGATCTGTAGCAACCAGCATGGAGAGGAAAAAGAACATGGGCTCATGGAGGCTGCGCTCCGTGAAAATAAGATAGAGGAGGACGCTGTTTCCTGCCAGGGCCACAAGGTAGATAATAAAGAAGGGAATCCCGATGCAGTGGTGGAAGGGCTCCAGCCCTGGAATTCCAAGCAGAATGAACACGCCTGGATTGAAGCTGCTCATGTTGAATGCCACCATTATGATCGTAGGTTGGAGGAATCTCAGAAACTGAAAATAAAAATTTTATGATATTTGGTTATCATCTTCAATAGAAATTAACCTCTGAGGTTTCTCCAATAGTATCCATTCACTTTCATTTCTCGGAAATGATTAATTATCTTCTTCTCTTTGCTAGAAAATGTCTGCCACATTTTCAGACACAATTTTAAGTCATAATAGAAGTGATATTTAAACATTGTCCCAGAGACATAAGTCACAAAACTAAATAGTCTTGCCTCTGTATCAACAACTCAGAAAATTCTCTAAGAAAATGTGTGCATAGGATAATATTAGGCAGAGACCCACTTAATTGCTAGTTAGGAATTGGAGCAAAGTTCAAGGTGAATTCCCAGCCCTAGAGAAATGCCATAACTAATATGTAGGATCACAAGGTGCTTAACAAAGGCAGGATCAATGTCTAAATCCTTAGGTAAAACAGGGGGTCTCTTTTCTTTCTTGCTTCTCCCTCACACTAAGCCATCTTCCCTGGTTCTCATTACTGTTAAAGAAAACTTCACCAACATAAAGAGGAAAAAAACACTCTTCCCTAAAATTTAACTTTTCAATGACTTAATCTGCCCTTCAGACATTCCTAGTCCAGAATAATGTTCAAGAAAAGGCAGACTATGTTTAGCCAGGCTTAGTAATCCTAGCAACTCAGGAGGCATGTGGATTTTGAGTTCAAATGCAGCCTCAGCAACTTAGTGAGGCTCTAAACAACTTATGACATCCTATATCAAAATATCAAAATAATAATTTTTAAAAAGGTTAGAATGTGGTTCTGTGGTTTAATGCCCCTGGCTTCAATACTTGTTTTTAGAAGAAGAAGAAGAAGGAGAAGGAGAAGAAGAAGGAGGAGGAGGAGGAGGAGGAGGAGGAGGAGGAGGAGGAGGGAGGGAAGGCAGATTAGCTGGGCAGGGTGGTGCATACCTGTAATCTTTGCAACTTGTAAAGCTGAGCAGGAGGATCACAAGTTCGAAGCCAGCATCAGCAATTTAACGAGAGAACCTCTCTCAAAATAAAACGTAAACAGGATGTGTGGCACAGTGATTAAGCATTCCTCCATTTAATCCTTGGTACCAAAAGGAAAGAAAAAAGAAAAGATAAAAATAAAAGAGTATAGTCTGATGACTTATTATGTTAGATTTGCCTCATGAAAAGATGATCAAATCCTTCTCCCAACCCTCCAAGAAGAAAAACAAGAGATGGGTAGCCTGGACTCCAGGCAAAGTTGCCCAGTGGCATTCTTCCCAGTCTAGTCCACTTAATGACTCATTCTGGAAAAACTTTCTTAAAACAGTTGAGTCTTTTTTCCAAAACTCTTTTGTACCATGATAGAAACTCTTTTTCTCTAAACTTGGTGTCAATCTTTCTCTCTCTCTCTCTCTCTCTCTCTCTCTGTGTCCCCTGAGTGTTGAAATTCTTCAGTGTTCTGTGTATATCTAACTGCTTTCTTGGTGAGAAACTTCATCTGGGAGATCTTCACAAATCCTGTGACTTATCACTGAGACCCCTATGTTGAACATTTTGAAGTCTATGGTCTTAAACACAGTGCTCTCTCCTTAGTCACACAATTGTTATCCTATGCCTGCCATCTTCACTTAAAAGTCCCACAGGTACACCCCACTCAGAATATTCCAAATTACCCCACTTGTCTGTCTCTTGCACCAACCCTGATTCTACTACATTGTTATATAACTCAACAAATGACAGCACATCACAGTGTTTTTGTCTAGAAACTTTGACTCTATCTTAATCATATCTTCTTCACAAACACCCTCCCCATCTTCTAAACAATTATCCTATCACAAGTATTCACCCTCTAAGTAGCTCTGTGTTACATCCACTCATTGCTATCCCTTCAGTGACTGCTCTAGCCTATGTATCATTAGGTGGCACCAAGACCTCTGCATCGGGCTCCTAATTCAAATGCATTTTCCTTTAGCAATTACAAGTTGGGGAGGGGTTGAAAAAGAGCCAGAATATATAGAGAGAAAATTAAAAGAGTATTTAAAATATATCTCCTGGTGTACTCCTTTTGGCTTACCTGCCACTAAGAAAGAGTAGAATAAATCAGACATAACTTTCCTCTGTGCATATATGAATACATGACCAGTGTAACACACATCTTGTACAACTACAAGAATGGAAAGTTATACTTTCCATTCAAGTGTCCCTGGCTTCAATCCTGGTGTCAAAAAAAAAAAAAGAAAGAAAGAAAAAAGAAGAAGGAGGAGGAGGAGGAAAATAAGAAGGAAAAAAAGAAGGAAGGGAGGAAAGGCAGACTAGCTTGGCAGGGTGGTGCATACCTGTAATCTTAGCAACTTGGAAAGCCAAGCAGAAGGATCATAAGTTTTAAATACAGTGAACTTGAAAGTATATTCTTACTATTCCAAGAGAAATGAGGATGTGGTCTAAGGTCTATTGCAACTAGAGAGAAAAGGAAAATGGAAAACCTATCACTTCCAGATGGGAAGAAATGGCAAGGATGAAGTCAGCAGTGGATTTCACCTGTGTGTTACTCAAAGAAAGCTCCCCCTCATTAACAAAAGCTTTAGTTACAGGAGAGGCCAATATACCAATATACCCAGAAGCTTCATCAAGAGCCCATAACACAGGATCCAGGGTTCCCACTTAGTACCACAAAATTGTGTGGAATTTCCCTTTCTCACACCCTACCACACATGCACCCCATGCTATCTAAGGAGAGGAAAAGGGACAATATAGAAACTGAAAGGAAAAAATAAAAATTAACAGTTATGATTATTGAATAACCAGAAACAAATACACTAATCTACATGAAATAAGTAGAAGTGGTCAAAAATTTAAACAAGACAATCGAAGCATATATCTTTGTGTATGTGGGTTTACAGGGCTGAGTGTTGAACTCAGGGCTTCCCACATACAAGAACAGTGGTAAGTTATATCACTAGCCCTATCTTCTTATTTATAAAAAGCAAATAATTTATTTAGAATATGGTTGATTTCCAAACATACAGAAAGCTTAAAAGTCCTCTATGCTTGCTTCTTTTTCTTTCTTTCTTCCTTTCTTCCTTCCTTCCCTTATTTCTTTCTTTTTCCCTTTCTTCTCTTTAGTTTTACATGACAATAGAATGTATTTTGACATATCAAACATACATGGAGTATAACTTTCCATTTTTGTAGTTGTACAAGATGTGTGGTTACACTGGTCAGGTATTCATATATGCACATAGGAAAATTATGTCTGATTCATTCTACTCTTTCTTATTTCCTTTCCCTTCCCTTCTATCATTTCCCTTTGTCTAATCAAGTGAATTTATATTCTTCCTGCTGCTTATTGTGAGTTAGCATCCGAATTTCAGGGAGAACATTCTTTGGTTTTTTTGGGATTGGCTTATTTCACTTACCATGATCGTCTCCAGTTCCATCCATTTACCAACAAATGTCATAATTTCTTCTACTTTAATGGTATATGCACCACGTTTTCTTATCCATTCATCTCTTGAAGGGCCCCTACTTTGTTTCCATAACTTAGCTATTGTGAATTGAGCTGTTATAAATAATGATGTAGTCACATCACTGTAGTATGCTGATTTTTAAATCCTTAAAAACATGGAATGTTTCACAAATTTGTATGTCATCTTTGCATAGGGACCACGATAATCTTCTCTGTATTGTTCCAATTTTAGTATATGTGCTGCTAAAGTGAGCATTCTCTACTTATTTTTAAAATTTTATTGTAACTATTTTGTAAAAGCCTAAATGCTTCATTCACTCAAATGATATATTTAACTCTTAATTTGTATTCATCACACAATTTATAAGCAGTAAATTATAGAATGTTGTAGAGAAGTAGATACTCGAAGTCTGAATTAAGGTAACAATAGAGATTGAACTTCTGACATATAAAAAGATGGAACTGGTAGATCTTGCCTATTGTTAGAAGGATGATAGAAATAACAAACAAAGGTGTTGAAAATTTGGAAAGCTCTTTCATCTCCATGAACTTCCTAATAAGTTTTTTTTTATTTGTTTATTTGCTCATTTGTTTATTTTTTCTTTGATTCTGCTTTGTCTCACAATTTTAGAAAATAATTTAAGAGTTATCAAAATACGCCCACCTGTAAGCTATCCACCAAGGGCAGCAAATTATGTTACTTGGAAACACATTAACTGGCTGGGTGAATAGCATCCACTTTTTTACATCTCCAATACTTAACTCATACCTGAAGAATTTGCATAAAATTCTTCTAGACCTAACCAGGACCTGTGGCATTATTGACATCATGGTAGGATAGAGTTCCTACATGACACTCTAAAGGACTTCAGTTATTTTCTTTGCTTGGTCTTAAGCATCATGTTAACACCCCACCTCAAGTAAGAGTATTAATTGGAAGAGCTCACAGAATCCTCTCCCACGTCAAAAGTGAGATAACTTTGGTCCATCAACTATGTCACCCCCAATTTAACCTTCACATTTTGGAAATACTTCTGTCTGAAATCCTGCACTTGTGTTTGATCTTGATATTCAGCTAAATTAATTGTCTCTTTTTTACTGGCTAACTCCCACTCACCTACCATCCTCAACAAGCTTTACTGACAAATATTCAAACTAGAAATGTTCCTAAGAACTCATGAGGCCTTTTGCCTTCTTGAATCAGAATGCTTACTGCACTATTTTAGTTTTGCTTTATTAGCTTTCTCATGTAATAAACAGTAAACTTTAATAGGACAGAAGTAAGTTCTCTTAGAATAGTTTTCAATAAGTATAGGGTGAAGAAATTAGCATAGGAGTGTCCTTGGGACTCCACACTAATTCATTTCATCATTCAATTAATACAGTTCATTCAGGTTCACTACCCTGCCATTCACCTAGGTCTCTTTCCCAAATGTCCCTGCATGGCCTACCATAAAATAACACAGAGCAGTGTCCAGTGCTGTTAAACGTTTCTGGGAAACGAAAAGATCTCAAAGAGCATGGGAACTTGCTTCCCTTATTCATGTATCTTCAACTTGATGAAGACTTTCACCAAAGGAATCCATTGTCACTACACCCCACTGAAAGATGGTCTGGAAGTAAGGACACAGGAAGATGTGAGAAATTATTACCTTCCCCACCCACCTTCAAAGTTCTAAATAAAACAAAAGATCTGTAGCTTTGCATTTCCATGATTTACTCAATCTTCCTGGATATCACAAACTGTATATTTTCTTTAATGTATTAATAAGTCTTTGTCTTAGATCACAATCTCTTTGATCACACAATCCTGGTTTTTGTCGTTAGCAAATATTCTACTCATTATTACTTATTGATCGATCTCTGATTAATGAGTGTTGTTCTCTTCACACCCAAGACTAAAAGTATGTCATGACACATTCTATATTCTAGCTCAGTCCCACTCAACACTAAACACAAGACACATTTTTCAGTAATATCTTTAACATAAAGTACCATAACTTATGGCTGGTTTTTATTTTAGATGCACTGATATGATGATCTTACTTCTACCTCCTTAAAAATAATGGGCACCCGTGGTTGGTCTATGAATTGCAGAGAACTGCCTTTAAGACTCATCCCAGAAGACAAGTCCTCACCCCATTTTGTATGTTTGCTGCTCCATGGTGTGAATGGGGAAATGAGCTTGTTGGTGCTTGCCCTCATCTTCCCAAGAAACAACAGACACTCCTTCACATACGTGTTCACAAATATAAGCACATGCTTATACTTAGGAGTTAAATGAAAAGTCTCTGAGCTGGACTTTCAGATGTCAATCATCAGATGGCTAGTCCCAGTCTGGAATGGGCCATCCTAAATATATCATGACTACTTATTGTCTTAAACATTTCTCATATTATTAGCATTAGAACTTTTGACCTCCAGAAAAATCTAAAAATAGTTTAGGTAATTTAGTGTAAAGGACTCAGAATTAAGCTCCTCCTAGTTCCAGTGACACATGCCTGTAATCCATCTACTCAGAAGGCTGAACAGGAGGATCACAAGTTTTAACCAGCCTGGAGTCTTCACTTGACCCTGTCTCAAAATAAAAAGCCAAAATGGGCTGGAAGTATAGATTAAGGGTGGAGCACTTTCCTAGTAAATAGGAGGTCCTGAGCTCAATTCCTAGTACAAAATTTATTTTGAAAAGGAAGAAAGAATGAATATCTTGCTAGGCATTCGTCTTTGATTCTACTCTCTTCAGTAAGCATAAGCTCTAGAACTATGTTCACGTTTTAACCTAGGCCTTTCTTACTTCTTGGAGTCTCCCCTTTCCCCACCTCCTTTGCTCTTCTTCCTCAGGCCCCCTCTGCACCAGCTTTTACTTCCTCCAAGTGTTCTCCCCTACTCCCCACAAAGTCATACCTCGGAAGTCCTGGTCCTGGAATTGTTTTTGCAAAGGCAGGATTAGGAACAGAGGGTATAAAATAAAGTAGGTCAAAGGCAGTCCACAGACAGAAGTGGCAAGGTCAGGAAGGACAGACAGAGGGACAAAAGGAACAGATGTGGGATCCAGGTCACAGTGGGGACGAACAAAAACAGAGCCTAGAGGGTTTAGCACAAAAATACCTCCCTTGTCTTCTCCTGGGATGAAAGACAAATTAGAAGAGAGGGCTTCTGAGCCAGAGAGACCTATGAGCCCCAGTGATTCAAACAAATTAACACTCCCTATACTAGGAACTTATTCCTCTGCTAATATTAGTGAAAGCTTGTATCTTAGAATCCAAAACCATAGTGTAAAGATGTAAATGTGTAGGTTCTTTCTCTTATCCATTCCAATGTTGATGGCCAACACCGCTAAAACAAAAGGCAGATTGTTAAGAGAAAACATATCATATTCATTCAATCTGATTTTTAGTTGTCACGGGAGATTTCAGAAATAAAGATCCAAAGACTCAGTGAAAACTGCATTTTTAAATTCAGGTTCAATGAAGAAGGGATAGCTGGGTAGAAATGTGATTGGACAAAAAAGGTAGGATCTCATGGTAACTAGCTGGGGAATCTTAATGACACCTGTTGATTGGGATTCTTCTTAGTCTGTGTAACATTCCTTTCCCTCCAAGTAAGTCCTCAGAAATTAAGGTCTTAGATCCTCCTTTCAGGTGAGGTAGATGAGCAACCTCTCCAGGTTTTATGTCTTTCCTCCAGGGAGAGTTTTAGTTTCTACGCTTTCCTTGAGAAAGAAGAATTTTAGTTTCTATGACATTTTCTCTGGGGATAAACAGGAAATAAAGAAAAGAGAGATGGACAAGAGCAGAGGAGACTTATTTCTGAGGCCCTTCTAATTTCTGGTATTTCAAAGTATTCAACATGCCACAGACCACACTTTAGGGTAACATGTTGTAATACCACTGGTACCATAATTGAATCAAAATCTTAGTGAGTTGAAATACATCCCCTTGTATCCTTAGATGACAATGCCCTGGAGACATTTTTCAGTGCCTGGCATTTCTGCAGTTGTGAAGAGGCCTCTCTTTCTGATGGTTTCTTCACTGGCCAATCTTGGTTGGCATTCTTCATCTTGCCTCTGTGGTGAATCAGCATGGTGCTGTGGAATTTTATTTTTCTTTATGTTGAATTATAAATCCAGGCTAAAACTCATTTGTTTTAATCCGTTTATTGAGCATCTATTATGTGCTACCACAATTGCATTCAATAGGAATACAATAGTGAACAAGGCAGGTGCTAACTTGGTCCTCAGGACTAATGGAGATCAGACATTAAAAACTAAATACAACAGTAATCATCTCATCAGGACTTTGATAGTCCTAAAATTAAAAGTGCATGTGCGATGGGAATGTATATAAGAGATCGTATTATAGTATACAGTATTCAAGGAAAGATTTTTCTCTCTTTTTTTTTTTTTCTTTTTTTGTACAGGATATTGAACTCAGGGGCACTCAACCGCTGAGCCACATCCCCTGCCCTATATTGGATTGTATTTAAAGACAGGGTCTCACTGAGTTGCTTAGCACCTCACTTTTGCTGAGGCTGGCTTTGAACTTGCAATCCTCCTGCCTCAGCCTCCCAAGCCACTGGGATTACAGACATGAGCCACCATGCCCGGCAAGGAAGGACTTTTAATTGAAGCCTAAATAAGAGGCACCAAGCCAATAACAGTGACTAGAAATTGTACATATTTGTGAAGCTGAAACTAGGCAAGTAATGGTGGGTATGTGGTCTTAATTCAATTATCAACAATTGTATCATTCTAGCCTTTTGGGACATTTTCAGCAACTTCTTCAAAATACAGAGCTAACTCACCAAGATACCCTGAATATATTTTTCAGCTGAGTATATAAGAGAGATGGTGAGTTTAGGACATAAAACAATGGCTAAAATAATGTACTGTGAAATCTATGCTAGCTATCAACAGTTATTTAAAAGGCCATGAACAATAGTTGAGAGAAAAGAGTTTTGTTGATGTTTGAATATACTTGAAAAACATTAAAAACATGAGGGGCATTAGGTATTTTCATTGGGCAGAGTGTAAAAAAATACAAAAGACTATGTTTCAGCCTTCAAGAAATATATGAAACAGGTATTGGATAGAAAAACACATAAGAAAATAAGTGATAGTTTTCAATAATGCCAAAATTAAAGTTCCTATATGAGCCTCTTCTGAGCCACTTCACCAACATTTCAGATAGAAAAAATATATCTGAATACACACATACAAATAGGATCTTTATGTCAGAATGCCAATTTTACTCATTA